AGTGCAGGGGTAAGTAACGCAGAGTGCAGGGGGTCAGGAGTAAGTAACAGAGTACATGTCAGGAATGGACTGGCCAGCAATAGTGGGACTCACCTGCCTTATGAGCTGCAGTACCAGGGCTGGCCAGCGGGTGCTCCCAGCAATCAGAGACTCAACCTTGCAGCCAGTCAAAACACCTGGAACTAATTATACTGATGTATTTAAGGGATGGCCAGACCTGCAGACTCTGCCTTGGTGTGTGTTTTTCCTGGGCCATGTATCTTGTAAACCTGCGTTCCTGTTCCTGTTCCTGTCTTGTTGCTGACCCTGCTTGATTCTGACCTGACCTCTGCTGACTTCTCCTGTTCTGATCCCTGGCTTGTGACCCTGACCATCCCTCTGCCTGACCCTCTGTACCACGCTGCCCGCTACCTGCTGAACCTGGCCTGTGACCCCGACCATTCTCCGCTTGCTCCCCCTGTACCTACCTGCCCGATTGATATTGACCCGGCCTGCCTGACGACGCTTGCATTGTATGTACTGTTATCTGTGGGTGGTTGGTTTGGTTTGTTTGCACTGTGTTATGTTTTAGTATTGCACTGCGTTTATGTTTGTATTGTTAGTGTCAATAAATTATATTGTTTATAACATATCTGAAGTCTGCGTTTCCCTGCGTCAGTCACATACCTCTGGTCACACCCGGGAGCCCTGACAGTACAGGAGTAAATAGGGCCGAGTGCAGGGGTCAGGAGTAAGTAACTCAGGAGTCAGGTGTAAGTAATGCAGGGGTCAGGAGTAAGTAACACAGAGTACAGGGGTCAAGAGTAAATAACACATGGTGTGTAGAAAGACCCTGTTAGGCAAAAATTTTCCTCCCCCAAATAAAATCCATCTACTCCCCCACTCCCCTTGACACCTCCAGTTCAAATCCTAACTCCCTCCTTCAACTGTGCTTGCCAGAACCTGTCATTGTGTGTGTATCTGCTATTCTGATTGATGAATATTTGAAGGAAATATTTTTGACACTTCAAAGATAGAAGAGAAAGAATAAGAAACCTAAATTATGAAGATTTGCCTAAACTTGGATTCAACTGTTATGGATTTCCTATACACAATTATAGAAGTTCTTTTGCCCAATACCAATTTTGGCCTTTCCAGCCATAGATGCAGCTAAGTGAAAACGCAGAACGCTTTTTTGTTTTTATGTATTGATTTTATTTTCATGATTGACAGTGTGTTCACCATGATTCAAATGCCTACCTTTTCATGATCTAACTGATCTCAATAAAAATATTTGCATCCACTACTCATAGTGAATATTTACTCCACATAGGATTCAAAATATACCGTCTTTTTGGCAGGTCTGCTCTTGTCAGCTGCTAACTTTTTTCTTATAAGCTTTTTGGTTTGGAATCCACACTTCAATTATGGTGAGTCGGGGAAATGCTTTTTGATGGGTGGATACACCCCTAACTTATGGCACTTTTTCTTTCTGTATCTGTTGGTGAGTGCCCTGTTTCTAACACTGACTGCCATTGTTTTTTTTTTCTTCTGTTTGTGGATTACGCAGCTGACAGCTCCTGTATCTGTCCACCTACTCGGCTCTGTGCTACAGGTTTGACAGTTGACAGGCTGATAGGGACAGAAGCCAGCATCTGCATAATTCACAAAATTCAAATTTCAGCTGGCATGCTCAGAATATTGTCAATTTATACGTATAAAGGATTATTAGTGACTACATAGTGTTCAGTTTATACAGATTTAGCAATGTTTCATGCATACATGAGCTAAATGGACTATATTTCTGTACTGCTGGTTAGAATAGTTAATTAAAGCTAAAACCAAAAATGTATTATAGTGCCGCGCTTCTCAAACATCAACAAAAACAATTAATGTGAACAACACAAATAATAAATAAAACAGTGTTTCAAATGTGTCGTCAGTCCTCTCAGTTCTTTTTAAAATATCACAAAAATAATCTCTTTTTTATAAATCTTCTCAAATCCATATCTGTGGTCTTCTATATATGTCATAATCTTCACAAGCCAATAACCGTGCTCCTTCACCAAACACCTCAGTTGTGCCCTCACCTGAATATTTTGACCTCACATAAAATGCTTGGTCAAACAGTGCCTGTGTTCCTTTATATGGACTAGGCGATGATCCTTGGAAAGGAATCTTCTTTTAAGATAAATAGATCACCTCCTCTTTGCACCTCCATCTCCATCTCCTCTTTTCTCCTCTGCGCAGCATAAAAAAAAGACCAATAGTGCTTTATCCTTTATCCAGAGGGAAGAAACGTGCCCCATTAGAGAACATTAGTAAACAAACGGCATCATGAAAAAACACATCAGACAGGTCAGGGATAAAGTTGTGGAGAAGTTTAAAGCAGGGTTAGGTTATACAAAAATATGCCAAGCATTGAAAATCTCACGGAGCACTATTCAATCCATCATCCAAAAATTGAAAAAGTATGGCACAACTGCAAACCTACCAAGACATGGCCGTCCATCTAAACTGACAGGCCGGGCAAGGAGAGCATTAATCAGAAAGCAGCCAAGAGGCTCATGGGAACTCTGGAGGAGCTGCAGAGATCCACAACTCAGATGGGAGAATCTGTCCACAGGACAATTTCATGACTAATAAGTCATGCTGTCAGGGCTCCCAGGTGTGACCAGAGGTGTGTGGCTGACGCAGGGAAACGCAGACCTCAGATATGTTATAAACAATATAATTTATTAACACTAACAATACAAACATAAACGCAGTGCAATACTAAAACATAATACAGTGCAACCAAACCAAACCAAACCAACCACCCACAGATAACAGTACATACAAGCAAGCGTCGTCAGGCAGGCCGGGTCAATATCAATAGGGCAGGTAGGTACAGGGGGAGCAAGCGGAGATTGGTCGGGGTCACAGGCCAGGTTCAGCAGGTAGCAAGCAGCGTAGTACAGAGGGTCAGGCAGAGGGATGGTCAGGGTCACAAGCCAGGGATCAGAACAGGTAGCAAGCAGCGTGGTACAGAGGGTCAGGCAGAGGGATGGTCAGGAGCGAGCCGGGATCAGAGCAGGAGAAGTCAGCAGCGGTTCAGAAACAGGATGCAGGACAGACACAGGATACAGGGCCCAGGACAAACACAACACCAAGGCAGAGTCTGTGGGTCTGGCCATCCCTTAAATACCCCAGCATAATCAGTTCCAGGTGTTAGCTGGCTGCAAAGTTGAGTCTCTGATTGCTGGGAGCATCCGCTGGCCAGCCCTGGTACTGCAGATCAAAAGGCAGGTGAGTCCCACCATTGCTGGCCAGTCCATTCCTGACAGTACCCCCCCCCCCCTCAAGGAGCGGCCTCAGGACGCTCCAAACAGTCCTAGCTGGGAAAAATGTTCCACCGCCCGGGTCTGGTAACTGGCGGGATATCAAAGACTGGCACACCGGGCAGGACTCCGGGCAGCGGTACAGCGGGCAGAGGCACATCGGGCTGGACTCCGGGCAGAGGCACACCGGGCAGAGACACTGGGCAGAGGCACACCGGGCAGAGGCACATCGGGCTGGACTCCGGGCAGAGGCACACCGGGCTGGACTCTGGGCAGGGCAGAGGCACACCGGGCTGGACTCTGGGCAGAGGCACACCGGGCTGGACTCCGGGCAGAGGCACATCGGGCTGGACTCCGGGCAGAGGCACACCGGGCTGGACTCCGGGCAGAGGCACATCGGGCTGGACTCCGGGCAGAGGCACATCGGGCTGGACTCCGGGCAGAGGCACATCGGGCAGAGGCACATCGGGCTGGACTCCGGGCAGAGGCACATCGGGCTGGACTCCGGGCAGAGGCACATCGGGCTGGACTCCGGGCAGAGGCACATCGGGCAGGACTCCGGGCAGAGGCACATCGGGCAGGACTCCGGGCAGAGGCACATCGGGCAGGACTCCGGGCAGAGGCACATCGGGCAGGACTCCGGGCAGAGGCACATCGGGCAGGACTCCGGGCAGAGGCACATCGGGCAGGACTCGGGCAGAGGCACATCAGGCAGGACTCCGGGCAGAGGCACATCGGGCAGGACCCGGCAGAGGCACATCGGGCAGGACCAGGGGCAGAGGCACATCGGCCCAGGCGGAAGCGGCAGGCAGCGGGCCCCCAGGGCGGGGCGACAGGCACCGGGCCCCCGGGCGGGGCGACAGGCACCGGGCCCCCGGGCGGGGCGACAGGCACCGGGCCCCCCGGGCGGGGCGACAGGCACCGGGCCCCCGGGCGGGGCGACAGGCGCCGGGCCCCCAGGCGGAGCGGCGGGCGCCAGACCCCCAGGCGGAACGACAGGTCTCGGGCCCTCAGGCGGAGCGGCGGGCGCCGGACCCCCAGATGGAGCGACAGGTCTCGGGCCCTCAGGCGGAGCGGCGGGCGCCGGACCCCCAGATGGAGCGACAGGTCTCGGGCCCTCAGGCGGAGCGGCGGGCGCCGGACCCCCAGATGGAGCGACAGGTCTCGGGCCCTCAGGCGGAGCGGCGGGCGCCGGACCCCCAGGCGGAGCGACAGGTCATCGGGCCCCCAGGCGGAGCGACAGGCATCGGGCCCCCAGGCGGAACTGCGGGCAGAGTCGTCTGGCAAGACTGCGGGCACCGAGTCGTCTGGCAAGACTGCGGGCCCCCAGTCGTCTGGCAAGACTGCAGGCACCGAGTCGTCTGGCAAGACTGCGGGCACCGAGTCGTCTGGCGGAACAGCGGGCACCGAGTCAACTGGCAAGACTGCGGGCACCGAGTCGTCTGGCAAGACTGCGGGCACCGAGTCGTCTGGCAAGACTGCGGGCACCGAGTCGTCTGGCAAGACTGCGGGCACCGAGTCGTCTGGCAAGACTGCGGGCACCGAGTCGACTGGCGGAACAGCGGGCACCGAGTCGTCTGGCAAGACTGCGGGCACCGAGTCGACTGGCGGAACAGCGGGCACCAAGTCGTCTGGCAAGACAGTGGGCTCCGAGTCAACAGGCACGACAGTGGGCACCGAGTCATCAGGTATCGGATTGTCTGGCTCGACAGCGGGCACTGGGTCACCAGGTATGACAGCGGGTACTGGGTCACCAGGCATCAGGTCATTTGGCTTGCCAGCGGGCACCGCGTCATCTGGCAAGGCAGTGGGCACCGGGTCACCAGGTATGACAGCGGGCTCTGAGTCAATTGGCACGACAGCGGGCACCGGATCAGGTACCGGATCATCTGGATCAACAGCGGGCATCGAGTCAACTGGCCTAATAGGATCGTCGGGCTGGATCAGTTCATCAGGCTGAATGCAGGCTTCAGGCTGAGTAGAGGCTTCAGGCTGAGTAGAGGCTTCAGGCTGAGTAGAGGCTTCAGGCTGAGTAGAGGCATCAGGCTGAGTAGAGGCATCAGGCTGAAGAGAGGCATCAGGCTGAAGAGAGGCATCAGGCTGAAGAGACGCATCCGGCTGAAGAGAGGCATCCGGCTGAAGAGAGGCATGCGGCTGAAGAGAGGCATCAGGCTGAAGAGAGGCATCAGGCTGAAGAGAGGCATCCGGCTGAAGAGAGGCTTCAGGCCGAGTAGAGGCATCAGGCCGAGTAGAGGCTTCAGGCTGAGTAGAGGCTTCAGGCTGAGTAGAGGCTTCAGGCTGAGTAACGGAAGGCAGGTTCACCGGTTTGGATACTGGCAGGATGGTATTGGTTGGAAAGAATTTTCGCTTTTTTCTGGTTTTAACTACTGGAGCACTGCAAGTAAACGCAGGTCTGCAAACGAATGGAGCAGCTGGAGACAGAGAAAAACTGGAGGATGGAACAGGAGAGGGAGCAGTTGCTACAGAGGGCTTTTTTACAGGGTTAAAGGCAGGATAGGTGCAGCGAGTGGGAACAGGGTACTGACATGCGGTAGATAGCCAAGTATACTGGGCTGTAACTGGAGGAGCTGGTGGGAATACAGGAGTAGAGTTAGAAGCAGGACTGGGTTTTTGTAAGCTGACTGAGGCTGGGTGCAACAAGTCTGTCCATGTCTGCAGTAGGGGTTGAACAAAGCTGAGCTTACACAAAGCCTGTCTGGTCAATGACTGCACTGCGTTTATACAATCTCTTAGTGTCTGTGGTGAACATGTGGAATAACGCTCCAGAAAGTAACCCACATCATCCTCTAATAACCACACCAGGGACTCTACCTGGTCTGCACTAAATGGTGGCAAAAATTCATCCCTGCATTCGGGGGAACCAGATGAAACCAACTCAGCACAAACCTCAATCAAAGGCTGCACCTCAGAGAACTCTGTGCCCTGATCTACTAGAACATGAGCGAGCCGTATACATTCTAGCAGTTGATCCCGGGTATACTCCTTCAGAGTTTGATAAGCATACTCCCTGTCATCAAACACTAGCAGATATAAATACACAACCTCATCCAGATCCATCCTTCCCAGCAACAAGCCAAGATGGCTTCCCTGTGCAGCCACTTCTGGTCAGGATTGGCCTTGGTGTAATGTCAGGGCTCCCAGGTGTGACCAGAGGTGTGTGGCTGACGCAGGGAAACGCAGACCTCAGATATGTTATAAACAATATAATTTATTAACACTAACAATACAAACATAAACGCAGTGCAATACTAAAAACATAATACAGTGCAACCAAACCAAACCAAACCAACCACCCACAGATAACAGTACATACAAGCAAGCGTCGTCAGGCAGGCCGGGTCAATATCAATAGGGCAGGTAGGTACAGGGGGAGCAAGCGGAGATTGGTCGGGGTCACAGGCCAGGTTCAGCAGGTAGCAAGCAGCGTAGTACAGAGGGTCAGCAGAGGGATGGTCAGGGTCACAAGCCAGGGATCAGAACAGGTAGCAAGCAGCGTGGTACAGAGGGTCAGGCAGAGGGATGGTCAGGAGACGAGCCGGGATCAGAGCAGGAGAAGTCAGCAGGAACAGAAACAGGATTCAGAAACAGGGCCCAGGACAAACACAACACCAAGGCAGAGTCTGTGGGTCTGGCCATCCCTTAAATACCCCAGCATCATCAGTTCCAGGTGTTAGCTGGCTGCAAAGGTTGAGTCTCTGATTGCTGGGAGCACCCGCTGGCCAGCCCTGGTACTGCAGATCAAAAGGCAGGTGAGTCCCACCATTGCTGGCCAGTCCATTCCTAACAAAAATTGATTGCTGGCTGTGAAAGTTGATCTCTGATTGCATGGGATTAATACTGCATTTACTGGCCATTTTGTTGTGGCTATAACAGTCCCGCAGCGTCAAAAGGACAATTGCGCATGTCATCAACCATTGCAATCCATTCCTGTACACATAAATGAAGTTTATTGTCCTTTTATTAAACAAATAGAGAATTCTTTTGGTGGGTATTTGATAACCTGTGCAACTTTTTTTTTTGAGCTATAACCAGAAAAAAAGCCATTGTTGGAAGAAAACATAAGAAATCCCGTTGCAGTTTGGTCATAAAACCATAACACATAGCAAAATTTTGTCAACCTGTAGGAAAAAATGTTATTTCTAATCAGGGAACACAAAGTTTTGGTTAAAAAAAAAAAACTACAAACTTCTGGTACACAATTCATATGGAATTTACTATGCTTTTACTTTTGGTATTTCTTTTGATTTGCAGAATACCTTGTATCAGCGGGAAGGACCCTCCAAAATTATAGTCCATCATCGTCTCACCCAACTATCTGCTGAGAGGCATATTGAAATCCATGGAAAGATTAATATGTTTCCACAAGTTTCTGGAAATCAATGTAAAAGAAATTTTTTTTTTTTCAGGGACAAAGTTTTTTTTTTTATAAAGAATTGATTTATTTCTCGCACAATTCATTATAGTGAATTACACCCCGCAAAATATTTTCTGCTACGTCTACTGAGTATGGGGATACCACATAATGTGATTTTTATCAGGATACAGCCTGAAATCCAATGACCACTTTGAAAGCCTGAAGGTGCGTAACTTCCTCATTACACGTCCTCACTACCTATCACAGTTTCGAAAGGCCCAAACATGCCAGGATAGCCCCCCCCCCCCCCCCCCCCCCAAATGACCCCTTTCTGGAAAGTAGACACCCCAAGGAATTTAAAAAAAAGGCATGGTGAGTATTTTGCAGATCTCATTTTTTTCTCACAAGGTTTTGAAATATAAAAAAAAAAAAAAATAGAAAAAATATGTTTTTGTTTTTTTTCTTCACTTTTTCAAAAAAAAATTGTGGAAACAAATGAGAATCTGTAAAAAATACTTTCCATGCTTTTTTATCAAATTCCTTGGGGTGTCTATTTCATAAAAAAGGGGTAATTTGGGGGGGTTAAAAAATCCTGGCATTTCAGGTCCTCCGAAACTGTGATAGGTAGTCTGGAAGTGTAATGAGGAAATAAAGCCCTTTAAAAGCCTGAAGGTGCTTATTGGATTTTGGGGTCCTGTACTTGGCTAGACCGCCAAAAAAAACTCTCACAAAAAACATACCCCCCAAACTCGAGCAGAAGTAGCAAAATGTATTTTGGGGAGTAATTCCACATATAACCCATGGCATGTGTGTGAGCAATAAAATCATTTAACTGACAATTTTGTGTAAAAAAAAAATATATATTTATTTTTGTCATTTTCCAAAAACTTAAAAAACTAAAAATAAATTCTTCTATTGATTCAACATTCCTCTCAGCAAATAGTTTGGGGTGACTACTTTCCAAAAAAGGGTCATTTTGGGGGTGGGGGCGTTTTTATGCCCAGCATTAGAAGTTTATGCCACACATCATTCTCACTCTTCTAACCACCTGAAGACCAAGCCTTTTTGTTCACATGAAAAAATCAGTATTTTTTGCTAGGAAATTAATTTAAACCCCAAAACATTATATATTTTTTTAAAGCAGGCACACCCTAGTGAATAAAAAAGTGGGGGTACTACAATTTTTTATGGCACATAGAACTCGCTCAGCGATTTTTCAAATGCAATTTTTAAAAAAAAAACACTTTTTTTTACTTTTAATGCACAAAAACACAATATATTGGCCAATTGTTTGGTAAAATAAATGCCGAGTAAAATAGTATACCAAACATGACAATGCAAAAAAACTGCAGCATGCCCCGTTCAATGGCGACAAACTGCAAACATTTTTAATATCCATAGGCAGCGCTTTAAAAGCCTTTAAAAGCCACCATTTTAGATTTACAGAGAAGTCTAGTGTTAAATTACTGCCCTTGATCTGACGTTCACGGCAATACCTCACATGCATGGTGCAACCGCTGTTTTACATAACGGGCACAGGGTCAAGGCTTGTGCACACAGGTGTGCATCGCATGGGAGGGGCAAACAACCCAAACACACCCAACAACAAAAATCAAAAAATTTATTAGTTACAAAACCCACAAAAAACCCACCCACCAACAAAAACCACCCAAAAACCCAAAAAACAAACAAAAAAAAACAAAAAACATCAAAAAAAACAATAACAAAACAAAAAAAACCCAAATCAATTCAACAACAAAAAAAAACCCAAACCAAAAAAAAACCAAAATTACCCCCCACAATCCCACAAAAAACAAATAAACATCAAAAAAACCCATACATCCCAACAAATCAAATCCCAAAAAAAAACCAAAATCAAAAAAACAAAAAAAAAAAACCATACAAAAAAAAAACACAAAACCCAAAAAACCTATAATGCAAAAATCCCCAAAATCACAAAAAAACCTTCAAAACAAACACCCCAAAAAAAAAACAAAAAAAAATAAACCCCCCCCCCCAACAACCAAACATCCAAACAATTCCAAACCCCAAATCACCCCACATCCACATCAACAAAAACACCAAAAAAAACTAAAACAAAAATTAAAACCAAACACCCCACCATACCAAAAACAAACCAATACCAAAACAAAACCAAAAAAAAAAAAAAAAACAAAAAAACCAAAAAAAAACAAAAAAAAAAAAAAATAAAAACCCCCCCCAAACCCTCAAAAAAAAAAAACTTCCCAAAAACCCACAAAAAACAACCCACAAAAAACCAAAATAACAAACAAAAAAAATCCCATAACAAAAATCCAAAAAAAAATCCCACAAAAAAAAAAAAACAAAACCCAAAAAATAAAACAACCACAACCCAACATCAACAACCCCAAACCCCCCCCAAAAAAAAACAAAAAAAAAAACCTAAAAAAACTCCTACACAAAAAACCCCACAAAAAAAAAAAAAAAAAAAACCACCAAAAAACCCCCCCAAAAAATTAAATAAAAAAAAAAAAAAAAACCAAAAAAAAAAAAACAACCCAACAAACAAAAAAAATAAATAAACCACCCCCCCCCCCAATTCAAAAAAAAAACATCAAACTAAAAAATAACAACCCCCTTAAAACCCACACACAAAAAACAAAAAAAAAAAAACAAAAAAAAACCCCAAACTTCCCCATCCAACAACAAAAAACCCCCTTAAATCAAAAAAAAAAAACAAAAAAAAAACCCCCCCCAAAATAACAAAACACCAAAAATATCCAACCATAAAA